TCTCTCTCTCTCTCTCTCTCTCTCTCTCTCTCTCTCTCTCTCTCTCTCTTTTTCTCCCACGCCAGGGATGGAGCCCAAGGCCTTGTGTATGCTAGGCAAGTACCTCACTACTGAGCTAAAATTTCAGCTCAAATAAAGTTCTGAAAAGTCCCAAAGGGTATGTGTCTCAAGTGGAAGATAAATTTACACCAAGAGCATAGAGTGGGAATCTTAAGATGACACGGAGAAATGTTAGCTTCTCTTTTGGGCATCAGGATAAGAATTCCCAAGGACAGCAGATCTAGATCCCCTGGAGTACTTATTAAAATGCTGATTCTGTCCCTACCCCCGCCCTCACCCCCACCTACCCACAATCTGAGAGGTCTAGTGTGGAACCCAAGAGCCTGCATTCTGAATGAGGCCTGACGCTGTGGTCCTCTGGGTAATGTTACCCTAGGGATCCTCTGCAGGTGTTGATAGGCCATGGAAATGGCAGACAGGGCTGCTGTGACCTAGAGGCTATGACTCACTTGGGCCAGGGCAAGGAGAGCGTCTGCTGCCCATGTGATGGGGAGGAAGGGTTTCCCTCCTATCAAAGATGAGGAAGAGTGGCCTGGGAGCTGTCACAAAGTGTCATGAGTGGTTCCAGTCTTGGCAAGGGACTTAGTATGGGTCATATCCATGAGCCCAGGGAACAGCCACAGCTGAAGCTGGGGTGGGCAGGGACTTGGTTCTGGGGGAGTCTGTCTTTAAAGGCACAAGGTCAGTTTTATGTGCTTGAGAGACAACGCAGAGTGTGGAGTTACTTGTTAGTGCAACAGGAGCAATATTAAAACCTAGACTGAGCAGCAGTCATTTAAGATGACTTCTTTGGGCTCACATTCTCTTGGGTCCATTTTTCCTAGGATGCAATCATCCAGTTCCCCCCTCCCCCACAATGTTTTGAGGATAATGTTGACAACACAGTGGATTATTTCCCCATTCAAACAAGAAGCAACAGACCTTACATTAGCATCCTGAAGACTTGACTTCTTATTGATATTTACAAATGTTGATTCCTCTTTTCCTATCTGTTGAAAAAAAAAATAGCTGGGTGAATAAAAACTGAGCATCTTGGCATTCAAAAGCTCTTCCAAGTCCCCCACATCTGAAGGATAGAGACATATGAAGTGGACAACACGTAATTCATCAAGGACTCAGGCAATAGTAATCTTATTCTGGTATTTAGATAAATGATCAAAAAATGTTTCCTTGAGTCACTCCCCATGAAGGGAATTAAGACACACTCATCTAAATGTAATCAAGTTTTCTATTCATATTTTCATTAAGCACCTGCTATGAGCCAGCTCATGTCTGTATGAGAAAAGGATGGTGTGGGAAAAGCAAAACCCGCAGCTTAATCCCTCACTCACATTTCAGATCAAGAATAATAATCAGCTCCATGCTCACAGTGTACTTACAGTTTACAAAAGAATCTGGAAGCTGTCCTTTCACATCAGTATAACAAGCTTAGGAGGAGTTACATCATTTGATTTTGATAGAAGCCTTGTCTTCCTCCCTCTGGTGAGTCCCAAAGAATGGCGGGGGTGGTGGGAAACACCCACTCAGCCAGCCGGGCCGGCAGAGCACACATTGGTGGCCAATGGGAAATGCAGGAGCCTGTGGCCTCACACCTACACTGCAGTGCACCAAGTGTGGTCTTTGCTCTAGGTGCATGCTCAGCAAAGCTTCCAAGGATCTGGTTCAGTGGGCCCTGGACTGGTAGCCTGCCATGGTTCCACACACAAAGACAGGCCCAGCTTCCTGAGCAAAGCCTGTTTTAGAGCCAGGAATAACAGAGAGCGCTGTTGGCCCATTGGACTTCTGTTTCCTTCTCTTATATCCTGGTCCTGCAATGAGTTCAAAAGTGGACTAACACTTAAATCCCTGTCAGTGCACCAAGGCCTTTATACAGCACTAGGCCAGGAGCTAGGGTTGGTTGCTCATGGCTATAATCCCAGCTACTCAGGAGGCTGAGGTAGGAGGATTACAAATTTAAGGTCAGACTGGGCAACTTATCAAGACCTATTTCAAATAAAATTATAGAAAGGCTAGGGATATGGTTCAGTGATACAGTGCTTGCCTATCATGTACAAATTCCTGGGCTGTCTCCTTTACTGCACAAACAGTCCCTCATGCCCCACAGAATCCTGTCCTAAATCAGCGATTCCCAAAACATATTTATGTGTCCCTTGGACACTGGTTCACAGGCAATAGTGGGAGCTTTTTTTACAAAGAGTTCTACAGTCAATTTAGGTGCACAAGAGAGTGAAACAGGTTTCTTTCCCATGGAACTTCTCAGAGCTTATAAAAAGCTAATGTGTGGCCTTAAGAGGTGCCTCATTAAGCTCAGAGACAACAGCACTGGCCACAGGGCCCTTGCTCAGAAGTCCAAGCTCTTAGTAGAAATTATTAAGCCATTTTAACATTCAGGGCATCATTATTTCCTCCACTGTAAGTGCTTTCTGTGGCTGCTACTACAGGTCCCTTAATGTGACCTATGGTGGCATATTGTGGACAGGGGACTGCAGATTTGCCCACGCTGATGGTCTCTGCTGACAGGCCAGCTTTCCTGTGGACTCCTGTGCCTGCTAATGTATGAGAACCATTGCTGTCCATTTGTCTCTCTGTTCTTTCACTTACCTCATTAATAACTGTATCCCAGTTAAGTCTTCATAGGCAAACCTTAGCTGATATACATACTGCAGTGGGCTCCTGCCTCCAGATCTAGCCCCACTCACCAGTGTCTCAGTCCTTCTCTGGGCAGCAAAGGAGCCTGTACAGTGGCGTCAGAACCCCTAGGCCGCATACCTGGGCACTGGCCCTGGAAGCATTCTCCAGCTGCGCTTTCAGGATGTTGCACTTCACGTGGTCCGCCACTGGGGAAGGCAGCAGTGGCGTCTGCAGTGTCTTCTCAGCAACTTTCTTTTCTTCAGCCTGACACAAAACAAAAGAGAGGCAACAGATGGTAAATGATGGAAAAAACAAAACACACACACATTAACTTTTCCTAGAAATTACAACTGTAAGTAACACAAAGATCTAAAGAGACACAGGCACCAGGAAGGTGTGTCCCTAGCTCCTTAGGTCTATGCCTGTGCTATTCTCGGCAGAGGACACGCCGGGCATCATTCCATGCTCGTGGGAGGCCAGGGGACAATGCATCAGGAGTGGAGGTGAAGGTTAAGAGCAGCAGGGTTGCAGAATCTTATAGTAGGGCCAGAAGCCGAACCTCAACCTTCAGCTTTCTTACACCCAGCCCAGTGCTATTTCTCCCATAACTAACACCTTGATTAGTCAAAGGGCAAACTGAAAAATACTGCTGTTTTTACAATAAATCTTGCTATGAACTGTGAGTCTAACAAGGAACTGATATTTGCCACTTATTTATTTTGCTGGGAATTGAACCCATGTCTTGTGCATGCTAACATGCTCTACCACTGAGCTTAACCCCTAGTCCTTGTTACCATACTGTAGATAATGTCTTGGACTTCAGTAATTTGGTTGCATCTTCACTATTTTTACCACCTCCTGAATATTAATTGAACAAATACCTAAAATTTATGTGATCTAGTTAAAGTAGATTACCCTGGGATAACATATTCCTACATCAGTTGCGCTCAAAGGAATAATATCTTTGAAATTATAAGCTCTGTAATTATTATATTTATTGCAATAGACATGATGATATTTACATAATTATTAAAAGAAAAAAATTCATCCATGCATGTAACCTGAAATCATCTTTGATGACACACACGCCACTTTTGGGAAATAATGACTCATTGCTAAGTGTATTTTTGTGGTCACTGCATATCCCAGCGCAAATATGGGGCTTGAGGTAGACTAAGTATCCAATAAACACCTACTGAAGATGATTATGATTATACACAGTTATTACCAGAGGAGATATGTATTTAATAACAAAGGCACAAGACTATATGATTGCTAGAAGTCAATTTGGTAATATCAGGAAATAATGTGGCACATGTACCACCATGTACTAGGGCAAGAATAAAACCTTCTAAAGCCCTCAAGTTCCTCAAGTTCTGAAATCAATCTTATTCATTAGATTGAAAGTCCTAGTGAGCACCTTGGTACAGGACCCATTGTAGGAATACTATGAAAGCTATAGAGGAAATATAGGGAAATTGGCTGGCTACGTCATTTAATAAAGAAAAAAGGACACAGAATTCAGTTTCCCAGTGGGCCTTCAAGCACGTAGAGGAGCATCTGGTAGAACAGAGCTCAGCAGACAGGCAGAAGACCTGGCTTTTCCCTACCAGCATCACTGTTAGAAGGTGGAAGATGCAGGGATATTGAGTTTGAATTTCAGATTTATAAAAAAGGTGACAGTGTAGTGGTAAAAACAAAGCTGGGGGTGACAGGGCTCACCTATAATCCAGCGAATGGAAAGCAGCTTGGACAACTTTGTAAGACCTGGTCTCCAAACACACAATAAGGGTCGGGCTATAACTCAGTGGTAGAGCTCTTGCCTAGTGTGTGCCAGCCCCTGGTAGCTAACATTTACTTTGAGTTTCCTCTGGGCCAGCCACTGGCCACATGTGTCATACACACACCTCACTACATCTCATTTGTCATCCCATTGGGAGGTAGGTACTATTATTATTTCCCTTTTAATAAAAGATGAAAGGTTTGTCTGATCTGAAGAGAAACCAGGTTATTACATCCATTTTACAGATAAGAAAAACAAAGCAGAGATAGGAGTCATTTGCCCCAGAACACAGAGAAGGTGCAATCTGTAGGCCGGGATGTTGACCAACTCCCGAGCTAGAGCTCTTAACCATTCAACCTAATGTCTGCTCTTCACCTCTCTGTGTCTTTCTTCACAAGATTTTTAGGATATTCAAGTGCAAAAACCAATAAATAGCACTTTTACACTACCTTCTTTGGTTAGGAAAGAAAATATAGCAAAAGTCCCATCAGATATGAGGGCACTAATGCTGCTAAACAGTCAAACTGGATTTCAGGAACCAGCTCGCTTGACCAAATGCATTATCCTGAAGGACTTGGTTTTCTCCTTTGGGCAATTACTAACTTATTTATCATTTATTTATTTGGAAGGGGTGGGATTCACCTTACGTTTATAAGTCACTTAGATATTTCTTTCCTACTTAAATGGACATTTTTATTGATATATGAAGAGTTAATTTTTGATTTGCTTTAATTTCTTTGGAGCAATATACTGGGATCCAGGAATTAAATTAGTTGCAAAGCTCAGCTGAGGTTTTTGACAATTGCTTAAGGGAATGTAGTGTATACTGACAGTGATGACTGAAAACCTACTTTAAAAATGCTGCTAAAATAAGAAAAGAATGGCCATTCAACATTGCTTTTTCCTCTTTGAATTTAGCAATTCTCAACTGATTTTTTGGACATAAAATTCAAACTGGCTTGTTCTTGTTCCATCTGGACAATGCAAAGGCGATAATATTCAACTATATGACAGACTCAGGTAAAGGCCAACGCATATTGGGAAAATTTGTCCATCACTGAATGAATTAACTTTTTACTTGTTTGTTTAAGTGGCATTTTATGGGAGACTATAAGACCATAGTTCCAACTTGGAGGATGGCCCAATAATGTGTTTTCTGTCTTTTGAATGGCCATATTTTATATTTTATGTTCAATTTTAGCTGCAGAAATATACTCTATTATTCACTATGGAAATACAGATTTCAAAACACACAAATACATGAAATTGGGCTTTCATTTTATGATAGCTGGAACTGGGCCATCTTTTTGAGGATGCCATTTAGGGATAAAGACATGATCACATGCATATTTAGCTTGTTGATACAACTTGTTTACACATTTGAAATCATAAGACTACAATTCCTGTGATAATTTTGGGTATAACTTTGGAATTGGGTAGCAAACATGATTTTTCACCATTAAATTAAGAATAAGAGGTTAATTAAACCTTAGAAGAATTGGAAGATGCTCTCTTCTTAGGACTGGGAAAAACCTTTCAAAGCATCCAAGCCAATAGTTTCCAATGAAGGCATCAAGATACCCAGTGATCTGTTCAAGGAAAGCTTTATTAATGCTAAGCATCATTTGCTTATGTTTTAGGACAGAGTGACAGTTACCTGTAATCACAGAATTGCAGCCTACTTTCTGGGGACTGAGCCCAGGGCTTTGCACGTGCTTGGCAGCACTTTACCACTGAGCGACACCCCCAGTCCCTTGTTCCACTCAGAGTGAAGGAAGGAGAGAAGGAAGTTACAACTTGAACTTCAGAAAAATGCCCCATCACCGTAGTTGTCTCAGCTATGTCATCACCCAGGAAGGCCCTAACTCTCAATATCCTACCAATAGTCATGGCAATTGCCAACTACCTCAGAGCTTGGAACTGCCAACTACCATAGTGCTGAACAATATGCTGTGTTTCTTTATAGAGAAGCTTTGCATTTTGTCAAACTTTGGTTAAGCCCCCATTCCAACCATTGATTATGTGTGTTGAGGAAGAAAAGTTGAAGATCAAGAGATTAACAGAAAGAAGACCAATCCAGGGGTGGCTGAGGTCCTGGGCAATGCCTGCCAGTGTAATTCTCCCAATAAAAAGGTAAGTAAAGTCTGACTCCTAGACGACAACCAGAGCAGAAATTAAAAACAAAAACAAACAAACAACAAAAGGAAACACTAGTAAAAATTCCTCCTGGACACAAGTACCTGGCTTAGGAGGCTGGCCAGGGAGGTAACCACAGGTTTGTACAAGCACAAAGTCCATGCTCCTTGCAGCATCCAGCCCTTAGTACCTTGTTTATGTTGATGTGCAGAGCAGGCCAGGGTCCAGCAGCTTTCACGGTCTCTAGTTCCAGCTTCTTCAGATGGGCGGCAGCCTCACTGAACAGGGCTGGTCCTCCTGGACTCAGTTCTACAAAGTGATGCCAGGGAAATGAGTACAGAAAGATTAAAAGGGCAGAGAGACACCGGAAATAAGGGGAACTGCCAGAGCCTGACTCCCAGCCCATTTTCTGCCTGTCTTCTCCTCTAACTTAACAGGGTGTCAAGTGAGAGATCAAACTGTCAAGGCCTAACTCCCCTCACATAAAGCGGGGTGGCCCTGGTTAAGTTTCATTACCTCTCCGAGCCTTTAAGTCATTTTAAAGTCATTTTAAATATAAAATAAAACACTTACCTACAAATATTAAGAGCTGCTGCAAATATTAAATGAGGTTATTCATGTCCAAAGGCTTTGAATATGAAACGGTACTGTGCAAACTAGAAAGATTAATGTTCAGGCTAATAGGCACATAAATATGCCCTTAAAAGCCATGTTATATTTCTAAAATAAAATCCACCAATTTTGATTCCTGTACTACTTTGGATTAGTTTGCCACCATTGCTTTCTGTAGCTTGCACGGATTCATTGTTATGCATTAAATATTAAATATTCATTACATAGTAAAACTTGTGCTAAGTACTGTTTGCAATTGGGATCTGGAGAGCTGAATAAAGGAGGGAATAAGACGCAATTCTAGTCTAAAGGGCAGTGCATGCACAGATATTCCAAATAAAAAGTGATAATAGTTTTCATTGTACAGGAGCAAGCAAGCAGGAACTCCAGCTCCTGGAATGGTGGAGGGCTGATGCAGACTTTCACCAACCACATCTGAGCTGGCTCCCAGGGATAAGAGTTCAACCAGGCAAAGGGAACTGCTCTTGTAAAGGGCAGAGCTGGGCCCAGCACAGCGGCTGGTGTGAGGACAACAGCTCTGTGTAGCTAGAGTGGGTGGGGTGGCTGGAGACCGTGGCAGCCCAGCCAGGCCAGGCCAATCTGCATGTGGTCACGTTCCGAAGTGTGGGCTTTAGCCAGGACAGTAAAGAACTACTGCAGGCTGTAAGGCATCTGGCCAGAGCTCTGTGGCAGAGCTGAATTCAACAGCTTTTAGATGCATTCCACATAGGAGCAGGTGTACCAGTGTAAAGCTGTGAAAATTATTCAGATACCAAGGATGAGGCAGGGACCTAGCAAGGGCAGTGTGGGCAAAGATGAGGGTGTACAATTTTGATTCTTTATTTATCAGATGGCTTAGGAGTTCCTGTTATGACTTTAGCCTCCTCAGAATTGTTCCCTGTGGTCCAGAGGTGATGGCTGTACAGCTCATCCTGTTTGCCAGTGGAGAATCACTCAGCGCTGGTGCTGAAGGATTACTTGATTTTGTTGTTGTTGTTTTGAAACAGGGTCTCACTCTGTAGACCAGGCTGGTCCTGAACTCACTATACAACGCAGGCTGGCCTCAAACTCACATTGATCCTCCTATCTCACCCTCCCAAGTGCTAGGATTACAGGCATGTGCCACAACACCAGGCCACATGGTGGTCATTTGGATACCCTCTTTCTATTCTATGCATAGATAAAAAAAAAAATCAAGGATCAGAGAGGGCATCTGGCTGCACAGCAAGAGCTGGCATCAAAGCCACCTTGACCTGACCTCTACCTCAGTGCCTCTCAAATCAAAGAAAAAGAGGCTGGGGAGATAGCTCAGCAGTCTAAGCACCTGCTCAAATCAAAGAAAAAAAACCCAGTCCCCCCCCCCCGATCAATCAGAGACAAATTCTCAGGTAAAATGCAAGAAAGGTGAGTTTCTAAAATAAAAATCACAAAACCCAAGCCCATATATTTAATTAGATTTAACAGATACAATGTCACTTGATCTCACTGCTTACAATGTTTCTGTTGCCTCTACTCCTATGACTCCATACTGGGACTACATCCCGGGCCCACCTGGTCTACCTGATGTCACCTTCCACTCAGCAGCAGGTGTCAGAATGTGTTTTTCTGTTATTGGATAGCAGAAGCTCCAGCCATTCACCTCGCTCCCTCCCTCCCTCCCTCTCGTTCCCATGACTTTCTCTTTCCAGAGCCGAGTCCTGTGCAAGCAGAGGGCTGCTGAGAAACAAGGTGGGGAGGGAACTGTCCCCCTAAGCCCGCTGGCCTGGAGCTTTCTGGAAAGCTGTCATCTCTACCTCTGCCTGCTCAAATGCATCCAGCCCTGTCTGTTCACCCTGGTAGCCAGCACAATGCTGCATCTCTCCAAGCCACCCAGGATGCACCCGCCCGGAATGCTAGGGAAGCTACTCTTTTCCTGGGACCCACCCCCATGCCGCCCCCTCCACCAGACTCACTTGTAAGGGACTTGCTGTTGGAGTTCGGGGATCTCAGAGGCCCCTCCTTGTTCTCCAGGGTCAGCGCGAAGCCGTAGTTGGCATGGTGGTGATGCTGGTGGTGGTGCCTTCCTGAAGCTTTCGGGGGGAATGGCGTGCCCCCGTTCTCCTCAATGCCAAATGGCAGCCGGTCAGAGGGGCTGAGCACTGGGGAGGGGAGTGGGTAGCTGTGGTGGCAACAAAGTCAGGATTTAGGAATGCAAACTGTCTCACCGGTCCTGTGTGTATAAAGACGTCCTCTAAGTGTCCAACACCAAGAGATTTAAGTTCAGTACACAGAGCTCTATTTAAAATACAGAATCACAGGCATTTTGTATGGAAAGAGAGAAAAGTGATAATTTGAATACACAAGAGATAGTATACCTTGTACCATAAAAATTCCAAGCTTTGAAATGGAATGCTTTCTATTTTTTAAAAGACATTCTCTAAGTGGGAGGAAAGGCTAAAAAAGTGGTAATTTAAAGCCATCCCATAATATCACATTACAAATGAGAAATTCCTGTCCATCCCAACAAGCAGTAAGCTCCTGCTAACATCGCTGCTACACCGTCTAATTCCAATGGCATCATGAATATGCTGGTTGTGGCTATAAGGATGATAGAAATTGAGCCTTCGTGCGACCCGTCATTACGGTCCAGAGAAGTAGCACTAAAGTAGCACTACCTGTGGGAATGCGGCCCATGTGCAAAGACAGAGAAGATGCCTAAATCTAGCCAGAGGGCCAGCTGACACTGTCACTGAGCTATTTTACCTCACAAGGTTCAGAGAGTGCACTGACTGACTGAGGAGCTGGATCCCTCCCATGTCAGCTACACGCTCTAGATCAGCAGCAGCTTGCTGTTGGCTTCTTTGGAGGGTGTAGAATTTCAGGTAGAAAAGGTAAATTGGTGTCACTGGCCCAAGGCACAGCAAGAGCAAAGGACCAGTGGTTTGGAGGGCGGGATGCCTGCAAAGGGTGTGTTTGGGGACGTCACAGCAGGGGGTGAGAATGAGAAGACAAGCTGGGGCTGGTCATGATGAGCTAGGTGTGCCAGGTTATTGGGTGGGCCACAGGGCACCATGGAGTGGGTGCTAGCTGCTCTCTGGATTGTCCCAAAGCGGTGTCAGCAGGGTAGTGGGCCTGTTACTTGGGGACACCAGGAAGGAGGTACCAAGAAGACCCTGGTGCAGGAGCAGGATTGACTGCAGAAGAAAAGGCAGTGCTTGCCCCTGCCCTGCCTTAAGAGCAGGACTCTGGACTCTGATCCTTCCTGACTGGCTCCTGGAGACTTTGCTCAAGGACAGTTGTGTGTGTGTGTGTGTGTGTGTGTGTGTGTGTGTGTGTGTGTAAGAAAGTACAGGAAGGATGATTGTGGGAATGCACTCCAGCCCCATCTCTTCCACCTGAGCATATCCAGGAAGTCCATCCCCCAGGGAGGCAGCAGCAGAGGCTCCAAGTTGGAGCGAAGACATCTGAATGAACTCCAGTGTGTGTCCTGTCTGGCCTTACAGAGGAGCCCTGGGCAGTGACACCAGACCTCACTGTTCTCTCTGAGATGTGAGTTCAGCTAGGTGTCTTCAGGGCAGATTTCCAGATCTGAGAGTCATCCTTTCCCCCTAACATTTATCTGGCTATGCTTCAGGCCCTATGATAAATATTTTACCTTAATCATCTAAGTGTATAGATAGGCAGACCTTTGCTTGATCCATAGTAGGAGCTCCACAAGTATTTGAGGAAGGATGGGAAGAAGGAAGGGAGGAAAGAGGGAGAAGGAGGGAGGAACAGAGGGAAGGAGGAAGCTGGGATTTGACAGCAGCTTTGTGGACTCCAAAGCTTGTGAACATTATTTTTCTGTCCCTCAAATATGTTTAAAAAATAACATTTGACCTGTGGAGGTGCAGAGAGAGGGTGCTCAGAGGAGAGCATGCCCCTGCCTGGGTGCACAGGTGAGTACACCCCAGCTCGCCTTCCCCTGACCTTCCTTCTCATTGTGTGAGCCTAGTACAGGTCTGCACAGGCACTGAACTTGTCTAGGCAGGAGGGACAGATCAGAAAAACACCAGAAGGAAGAGGAACAGGACAGGGAAATTGACCAGATTCAGGACAGGGAGGCCATGGAGATGGGGAGGGTCAGATAACTACGAGTATTTTAGACAAGAACATAATGCAAATGCCTATGAAATATCAGTAACAGCGAAAGGGAGGTGGGGAACCAGAGCTCCCTGGACACAACTGAGCTGCAGATGGGTTGCGATGAGTGAAGGCATGGACGCTTGAAGGGAAAGACGCCTTGTAGTGGAGACCCAGCACGCGTTCAGGGCTGGAAGTGAGCTTGGAAGGTTCTGAGTAATAGTTTTGAAAGGATGGCAAACAGACACTCTCTGATGCCAGCTCCTGCTGATCCTTCCTTGCTGCCCAGGGTGCAGGGTGGAGGATCCCGAGGAGCTGCCGGGCTCGCGGCATCTGCAGACGTGGTACGTGGGGTGTCACACGCTCGTCTTTCCAAGTTAAAAGCATGTGGAGTCAAACAGCCACAGATAGTGATAGATACACATACTGTACATGTGTATATTCATACATATTTTCAGGGAGTAAGAAATTGCATTTAATAACCTGGCAAGTAAAATATGCATGTGTGGATTTCATTTTATAGCTACTTATAAGGGGGAAACTAAGAAAGAGACAATTGGGAAGAGGAATAGGTGATGGTCACAGATGCTGTCTGGGATTAAACTCAGGAATCTTACTAGGTGAAAGGGCTTTAGAAGAGCAAATATTCCCAAGCAGGCAGGAGAACTGCCTTGGAGTGATCTCAGCTCATCCCTACTGGGAGCATCACCAACTTTCTAGCATGGGGCTTAGAGGGTGGTGGGTGCATTTAGGCAATTTCTCATGGCTTGAGATTGCTCCCTGTGGACTCCCGAGAGTACCCTTCACAGACTCTATGACATGAGTCATAGACGCATGATGGAGGGTGCACATCTGCCCTGCTGACTGCAGCACAGCAGTTCAAGTCCACCCTAGAAGGACCAAGAGCACAGAGCATCCCACGAGCCTCAGGGACACTGGCTTTCACCAGAGACTGAAGCTCATGAGGCTTCTAGCCTTCTGGAGAACAGGTCGCAGGTCCTGGCTTCAGAGAGGGTGGCAGAGGAGGGACAAGCAGGCTTCAGCCTCTGCCTAAGAAAAGTGATGGGGAGATGGAAAGTGGGATGCAAGATGGGGCTGCTGACGCTCACCGCTGTACTCGGTATTCTAATATTTTAGGCTCAAGCTACCCTGAAGGATGCTGCTGGTGCCACATGGCATTGGGGGGGGGGTGAGCAATGGTCCCTATTAATAAATGCAGAGTGCAAATGAAACCTGGTCTACTCACTCCTCTTCTTTTTTCTCAGGAGAAGACTGGCTCCCATTTGGCCTCCCACTCAGGAGAAGCCTGTGTTCCTCCTGGGCCTGTGTGCTAGGTACTTCGTTGTCTATATCGGTGTGCATCTCTGCAGAACCAGTGTCCTGGCAGGGGCTCCTCCAGCCCTGCCTAATCCAGGCTCCAACCAGAGCCTCTCCCCTCCCTGACCCTGGGATCTCAGCCAACCCAACACATGTGCTCAGACAAAATGTGCTGCAAACTGCATCATAGTATTTCTAGAACATGAGCAGTTCAGGGCAAGGACACAGGGAGGTCTGGAGCTGGAGCACATGGTTCTTCTCCAAGAGAAGGCAGAGTAACCCGGGTCCATATATTTCACACCTCAGCTAAGTTCCAGGAGACCTGGCTTTGGAGATCAGGCCAGGGCCCCTCATTTTGGATAAGAATCCACACCGTTTTAGAAACAGAACCCCATAGATATTCCACAGGTTAGTGGCTTTAAACTCTGGATAAACTATACCACTACAGGAGCCTCTATATGCTGCTGGGTGGAATGTAAATGGTACAGCCAATGTGGAAAATGCCCTGGCAGTTCTCCCAAAGAGTTATGCAGAGTTAATATATGACCCAATAATCCCACTCCTGGACACAGACCCAAGAGAAAAGAACACACAATCATGCAAATGCTCGTACATGAATGCTCACAGCAGCGCAATTCCAATCACCAAAAGGTAGGTGGGACTCACATGGTCGCCAACTGGCGCATGGACAAACAAAATGTGGTACATCCATACAGCGGCAATGACGAAGCTACAAGGACACATGGAAGCACCATTCCCTGTGAAGGAAGCCAGGCAGAAGAGGCCAAGTGTGGTGTGAGTCCGTTTACAGGAAATGTTTAGAATAAGCAAAAAACAGATCACCTGTTACCTGGAAGGAGGGGAGGAAGTGAGTAGGGAGTGACTGTGAATGGCACTGAGCTTCTTTTAGGAGGAATAAAAATATTTCTGAATTCTATTGTCACGGTTCGCACAGCTTTGTGAAAATATTAAAAAAATCTGAACCACACACTTTAAACGGGTGAATTGCATGATAGAGCTTTCTCAATAAAGTCGATTTTTAAAAATCACCAGGGAAGATTAGGAAACAACGTCAACACCCAGCTCTCCGCCAGACCAACTGCAGTCATCTGCGCCTGAAGCTGCCCCAAGGCCAGGGCTGACATCCGCCACCCGCCCAGTCCGCCCTCCTCACTCGGCAGATGGGCCCACGACGGGGAGCGAGGTGAGCAGGTCACACAGCTGGGCGCAGCCTGAGCCCGGGATGCGATCCAGGACTCCCACCTCTCGGCTCGCTGCCCCAAGTGCTGCCCATCTGCTGCATCTTCCCATCTGGCTCGGCTGCTATTTAAGGCAGCCAATGTGCTCAGCAGGAAAATCCAAGTCCTCCTCAGAACCCACTGGGTGAGACATCCTTGAGAATGCACTCATGATTCTCAGCCATACAGTAAGCCCTGGAGGAACAGAAACTGCTACAGCACATGCTCTTGTGTCCTCCACTTAAGAAAAGTCCTATGCACATAGCACGTGCTCAACTAACACAGGTCAGCCTGAGCACAGAATGAAGTCTCAGTGCACTGGACACTCAGGCGCCAGTTCTCACGTTGGGCACTGCATCAAGCCTGGGGTAAGGACAGGTGAGATCTGTCTTTGGCTCAAGGAGCTCACTGCTGCTCTGATCAGGAGAGGAGCCCCAGTTCAGCTTGCAGGGGAGTCACAGGCAAAGAGCTCCTGGGCTAATGATGCCTGCAGCAGGTGAGG